ATGCTGGCTTTTCTTTTCCTGGGACAGACAGGGTGGCACCATCCCCACCCTCCTCCCGGCCTACCCAAGGTCACCCATTTGCTGGATGGCCAGCCAGCATGGGAGCTCTGGCCGTGAGCAGAGAACAGATGTCTCCTCATGCTAGGCTGAGGAACTGACCCCATGTCCTTGGTCTCATTAGTCTACCCACGCTCAGACCAACCAAGCCAGGAGCTGGTGGGGGGAGGGAAGCCCGCTCACCTAGAGCTGTGCTCGCAAACTCAGCCAGAGCCAGGGAGGGCTCAGGTGTGCACGTGTATGGATGAGCATCTGTCTCAGGTAGGCTACACATGGAGGGCAGAATGGTTAGGGGCAGAGAGTATTACTAAAACGGACCCTTGAATGTAACAGCACCACTAGCTAATAAATTCTAGCGAGACAAATATTTTCATTCTTTACCTTGGCTAGGTTCAGTGGCTCATGCCTGTAATCCCAGCACTTGAGCTCAGCAGTCCAAGACCAGCCCATACAATATAGTGAGACCTCATCTCTACAAAAAATAAAAATAAAAAAATTAGCTGGACAGGGTGGTGCACACTTATAGTGCCAGCTACTCAGAAGGCTGAGGCAGAAGGATCTCCTGAGCTGAGGAGGTTGAGGCTGTGGTGAGCAGTGATTGTGCCACTGCACTCTAGCCTGAGTGACAGAGTGAGACCCCGACTCCAAAAAGAAAAAAATAAATTATTTAACTGAAGAATACACACCTACATGAAACCTTTGTTATGTGTGTAAAGATAGTGAAATAGATGGTTACGTGGCTATCATTTATCGTGTCAGTCTCACTGCTAAGCCCTTGACAGCTATCTCATTTAATCATCATAGCAACCTTGTGAAGTAGACACTAGTATTATCCCATTTCCTAGACAGGAAAACTGAGGTTCAGAGAAGTTAAGTAACTTGCCCAAGGTGACACAGTCAGGATTGGATCCAGGTCTAACTCACATTCCCAATCACTACTACCAGCATGCTCCCCCTCTAGGCTGGTGGAAGATTCATTTCCTTCTCCAGAGGTGAAACTAGACACAGGAGTTTTTCTAAAAAGTGAATCTGGGATGACCAGACAGGTGTTAAATGCTGCCTTGAGAGTGAGTGATTCAGCTCTGACCAGACAGCAGGTGGTGTCCCCTGGTGGTGGCTTCCAAGAAGGGTTGTGGGGTGGGTACACAGAATAACTTGGGTTTGACCAGTTAGTTGAGGGGACGACGGAGACAGTCTGTGGCACCATCTGTGGAACGGAATGGGGGTTCCATCGAGTCAGGCTGCCCCAAGCAAAGTGTCTCCTTTCCTGGGACCCACAGGATGTCCTCACATCTCTTGCCTAGGCCAGGTAGGTGCTGATCAGAGGTGATCCGCTCCAGTAGCCCAAATGACATCACCAAACACCAGCCACACTCTTATCATCCTGACCCAGCATTTGCACCTAAATTCAGACTCCTGTACATAAAATGCTGCCAGCATCTTGCTTACAATTTGAGGCCTAGGACTTTGGCTAATTTAGATGTCAGTCTGGTACCAAAGGGGGAAATTCTCATGACTGGATTATTTTTTTCCCTAACAGGGACCAGTTCTTGAATGCAGGATTTCCTGGGGACCACCATACACATAGCTCCCCAAGGGAAATCAGAAGAGGATAGGAGTAAGGCGAGACAGGAAGTGCTTTCTACCTTGAGGGGCACAGACAGGGGTGAGGTTTCTGCAGAAAGAGCTGGGGAAGGCATGACATCAGTTTTGGGCATTTGCCACACCCCTGCTTGAGTCTTTTGACAAAGGGTGTTGACTCTGAGGAGAAAAACAGAAACTGGGATGATAAACAAATTCTCTGAAAGTTTCTCAGTTACCTGCAATGTTTGTTACCTGCAGTGTTTGTCCTCCTAGGCAAGAGGCTCCGTTACTGGGGAGGGAGCGGGGTGAGTGGGTGAGCGGCACAGGTGGGGCTCAGAATGCCTGTGTTCTATTTTCAGCTCCTATCACTGACTCACAAGGTGACCTTGCTGAGGTCACAATGCTTTTTATTTGCTGGAGGAAAGTCAGAGGTGGCAAAGCTTGCATTTTCCCCCAAGGGATGGGAGTCCTGGAATGTGGGAGACCTCCCTGTTCCCCACGAACCCCAGCCAATGTCTGGTTCTGTAGATGTTAAAGAAAAAAAAAAGCCTAGATCTGGATCCAAGGAAATTTGGGGGGCAAAGAAAAAAATAGTTCCCGCCATAGCAAGATTTATGGTCACTTTTATATGCAGTTTCTCCAAACTGCATATAAACTGCATGCAAACTGTTTTCAAATCACATTCCCATACAAATATTTCCCTATGTGGCCTTCTTCTCGTCTGTGGAAAGGGAAAGGGAAGGTTATTTTCTCTTACATTTGAGGATGCGGAAATGAAGGCTAGCAGTGGTATTTCATTACCAGGAGCCCCTTTTACTATTTTACTAACACGCATTCCCTGTTTCCCAAGACCTTGTGAGCAAAATACTCTGCATTTATTAAGTGGAATTTCATCTCTGTTTTCCTTAATTAAAGTCACTGATGAATGCCAGTTCATGTTTCTGCTCAGCTACCACTGAGTTCACTGTCAAGAATTGCAGCTTTTACTCTGGGTGACTTCCTCAAAGGTAAAGGTCCAATTTCCCCCAGACTTTTGACATTTTGAAAGGACTTCCTCTTTGAGGCACCCAGGTACCCAGGCTGGGAAATCCCCAAATAGATCCAGTGGCCTGTGAAAGATGCTGTGGCTAATGGTGGGGTCTGACTGGACTTGTAGGCCAGTGCTCCAGCCAATCAAACCCCTTGGCAAGGAAGGCATGTGTGCACATTCAGACACACGAGCACACATGTGCAAGATGGCAGCTCAGCCAAATGCAAGTGCCATGGAGCAAGGAAGTTAAGGGTTCAAACCAGTAATAGGTTCCCTCAGTACTGGAGTGAGCAGCCGAACCAAGCTAAGATTGGAAAAGTGCAACAGATCCTTGCAGGCTGCTTTTGCAGAGCTACCAGGGTGGGAGACCTGTTTATTCCACCACCTGCCTGTGCTTTGTGCGACTCTTCAATAATTCATGCATCATTTAGGTAGGCGGAGACATTTTAACCCACTCTGGGAGCATTCAGGCCATTCCCCCCAGCACCTGCCTCTTCAAGAGGTGGGGGGTGAGCCCTTGAAGCTGGGGATGGCATGGCAAACTGGGGACTCTGGCAAAGTGGAGGCAGAGACAGGGGACTCTGGCTTGGCAGCTTGGGGTATAAGCAAGCTTGGGGGAAGGGCTGCAGGACTCCAAGCGCCTCAAAGCCTTCTCAGGTCTCCCCCACCCCCAGCCCAGGGCTCCTGCAAATATTCTCCTCTACTGAGTTCTTGGCTTGGACCCAGCGGCTCAGGTTTTGATCCCATGGCTCAGAGGCATCAAGACTGCGTGTACCTTTAGAAAAAGGCCAGGGCTTAGCTTTGTGGCTTCATAATCGGAGGTCCCACCAATCCCCAGCAGGGCTAGGGGCCAGGGCAGGGTCTCTACAGGCCTGCTGCCCAACAGCTGTTCCCTGGGTTATTTTGGTTCAGGGGGAGCTTGTCAATTCCAGGGTATTTGGACCAAAATAGCCAACGACAGGACAATCTCTTAGTGGCTCTGTAGGGACCTCCCCATGGAGACATTTCCAAAACGCAGTGGGGGAGAGAGCAAGGAGTTTGTCTTGGATGGGGTGAGCAGGAAATTCTGCCAGTGTCTGAGACCCATCTCACCAACCCTACACTGTCCTTTCATTTTGGCCTTGGCACCTCTCTGAACACCTGCCTAGGCCATAAAAACGGGGGGGGGGGGGGGGGGGGGGGGGATGGAAGGGAAAGGAAGGAAAAGATAATTTTTGAACTTTGTTCCTAGACTTTGTAATCCTCCCCCCAAAGCTGTGAGATATAGTACCCTTCTCCCGTTTAACCAGGTCCAGAGAAGCAGAGGCACAGGTCCTAGGCCACACAGCTGGGGACACAGGCCCGGTGGCCCCAAGCCACACAGAGCCTTGTCAGGCCGGCAGCTTCGGCCAGGTGGATGCCGGTTCCATCAAGAAGCTCAGGGCCAGCATGGAAAGTGCTGACTGGTCCTGGCCTTCCTTCGGGCCACAGCGAGGGCCTGGCAGCCACCAGCCCCCTCAGCCTCGATCCTCCTAAGACGCGTCAAGAGCGGGTGGGGGAGGGATGACCAGCCACGCCCTCGCTTTCCTTGGAACCCCGCCCAAGTTCAGGTTAGCGGCCCCTGGAGTGGCCTTTTAGAGTCCGCGGGAACTGCCCCGGAGCACAGCCAGAGTGACCCAGGTCTCGTCCCCTCTGACAACGGAGGTGGCGCGCTGGGAACGCGCCTTAGCACAGGCGGGCTGGGGGGCGCAGGGCGCACGCCCGGGACACGCCCTTTGGAAACCGC